CAACTACAAATTCTTTTCGTTTTGGCACTTCTAATAAACTTGTTGAGAAGGCCTGATGTACAGTGTATTTGGGCGCCGGAGGTTTGTGTGTACATGTGTGTGTGACTGAGAGAGCATGCATGGGCTAGCATGTCCCTGCATGTCCCTGCATGGACGAGGCAGGGACATGAGTGAAGAAAGTAAGACAAGTGAGACTACCGGTAGATAGAAAGGGTGGCTGTGTTAATCGGCTGAATTGAAGAATGATCAAAAACTTAAATTACTCACAATATCCAAGACTTTGTTGATTGATATTTCTAAAACTTCAATTATTATTGTTATCAATATTTTTGTATTTTATTTATATATGAACATTATTTTAGGGGGCGAGTCGGCAAGGGATGGATTTTAATATTGAGAGAGAGAGAGAGAGAGACTCGGGGGAGAAGGGATGTGAGAGGAACTGACCATCGAATGTGTAAACATTTAGAAAGTTGTGAGCTGAGAGTGCAGTAATAAGAAAAGGTACATGAGCGAAGAACACATTGCAGAGAGAAGGGAATAAAGAGGGTGAGAAAAGAGAGAAGGGGGCTGGTTGTTTTATTGTTTACAAATTCATTCATGGGGATTACTGCTGCCAGAAAGCTGGCGCGCAGCGGCCAGGGTGTAACATTACACTGCGGTTTCTTTGATTATCTTTATCATCGGCTATTAGCACATTCCAAAATGTATGCAAATAACGGTTAACCGGAGCGAGAAATGCTAAACGGTTTTGATGAATGCGGTCGGATAACCGTCGGTTAAACGGTTTGACTCAGGCCTACCTAGGATAGAACCTTGTGGTACACTGTGTGTAGGAATTATTATTATAAACTACATATTGAGATCTATCAGAAAGATTACTTTCAAACCAAGATGACAGACAAATTTGAGTGTTGTTCTAGTTTCCTAGTGGTGAGTCAACACACTGATTACTGAACTGGGAGACATTGCCAGGCATAGTGCCAGGTGGAGGGGCATAAATCGAAACTTTAATTTTTTTATTTTTTTGGTGTACCGTGTGTAAACCGCACCCCCAATTTTGAATTTTTTTCCGCGGCAAAAAGGTGCGGTTTATACACCGTTAATTACGGTACCTGCCAACATTTGAAAATAAGAATTAGGAATTTTTAACAGTTTGCCTTCAAAAATAAGAAATCACACTTGCAGCGGCAGTGTAACTAGCAATACACGGTAAATCTGTACCAAAAAGCGAATACCAATACCAATACCAATACCAATATAGCAATACGTGAACTCTCATATCGCAGCACATGGTAAACAATCTTAATTTTGCTGTAGCACCAAAAAAAAAGAAAGAAAAAAAAGAAAATAAGGGAAACGCTCTCGCCTGCATTACACAATTCGATATGATGAAAAATTAAGAACTTATACTTTCAAAATAATACTAAAAATTAAAAAACTTAACATTAGGTTAAGTTTTTTATGTTGACGCTGCAGCCGTCTACCAGTATGTCTTGTATTTTGCTATGCAGGCGAGACAAAAATTTAAACAAGGGAAACGCTCTCGGCGGTCTCGCCTGCATTACGCAATTCGATATGATGAAAAATTGAGGTTGGAACATTATTTATAGGCAGGGTGGCCCATTAGCAGGTCCCAAAAAATAAAATCCCTGCATTACGCAATTCGATATGATGAAAAATTGAGGTTGGAACATTATTTATAGGCAGGGTGGCCCATTAGCAGGCCCCAAAAAATGAAATCCTCTGAATATAATCAGCATTTTGAAGTGAATATTGACCAAGAATCATCAGAAGAATATTTACTATTAATTGTACCACGATCGATAACTTGAATGAAATATGAACAAATAATTTTTTTAAAAATGATGTATTAATTCTCATATTAAGTTGTGAAAAAATAATTCAAGTCTACTGACCTAAAATGACCTTTGACCTTGTGACCTTGAATTTGTGTCATATGATTTGTGATACTTGATAACCCTTGGGTACAAGATTCATGGAATTTGAACAAACAATTTTGAAAATATGATACAAATTCAAAATCTTGATGTTGATGCTACAACAAAGTCTAAGTTTGTTGACCTTAAATGACCTTTGACCTCAACTTAGTGACCTGAAATTCTACTCAAATGATTGGGGATACTTGATAACCCTATAGTTCCAGTTTCATTGACTAAGAACTTATACTTTGAAAATTATATCAAAAATTCAAAAACTTAACCTTAGGTTAAGTTTTCGATGATGATGCCACAACACAGTCCAAGTCTGTTGACCCAAAATGACCTTTGACCTTGATTTTGTGAGCTGAAATTCTACACACATGATGGGGGATACTTGATAACCCTATAGTCCAAGTTTCATTGACTAAGAACTTATACTTAGAAAATAATATCAAAAATTCAAAAACTAAACCTAAGGTTAAGTTTTTGATGTTGATGCCGTCGCCGCCGCCGTCACCGGAAAAGCGGCGCCTATGTCTCGCTTTTTGCTACGAAGGCGAGACAAAAATCAGCATATTCTGAATTTTTAGGTCCTAAAAATCCAGAAAATCAGAATATTCTGGATTATTCGGAAGGGTTGGCAGGTATGCAATCGACCGATTTGCTATTCCCATTTGAAAATTATATATCAGACCTGCATATTCTGAGATTTCATGAAATGGCCTAAGGTGCTATTTGAAATGTTTGAAATGTACCAGGCCCAACTGTAAATTTTGATTAATTCAATTTCTCGAAAGCAGAAGTGTTTTACCGGTAGGGGCTAAATTTTCTAGTGCTTATAATACATCCACAGGGACATCCAAATATATCAACATTTAAAAGAATTAATTACTATCCATCCAATATTCTCAAAACTTTGCATTACCTCTAAGAAATGTAGTGTAAAGAATAAAGTCCCATTTTATTTGCCCTACCAGACCATGTGGGATTCCTGGTGGGGGAATGTCGCGAAGAGAATGTTTCTGCAGGCAGTGATATACTTACCGCTACTGGATAGCTCAACATTTTCACTCGCCTATCGTCGCACAGATCACTGATGTTTCCCCTCCGCCCCGCCCCCCCCCCCCCCCCAAAAAAAAATCCTGTTTCTTCCCATTTGTTGTTGTTTTGGTTTCAATAACCATTCAGAAGATTCATTCAAATTGGAATAACCATTTAAAAAATAACATTAATTTCTTGTTGAGCGATCTCTCACACTATTACGATTGAAGCGCACACTCCCTCTTTATTATACAAACAAGACCATTTTGTTCTTTGTGTCGTATATACACTTACGTATACTGTAACATGGTTAACTATTGGTAAAAAAAGAAGAGAAGTTTAGTAGTTGAAACTCCTAAATCTCTCATAAATCACTAGAAAACTGATGATTATCATTCATGTCAGATTTCAATTTTTTCTCTTTCACATGCCAAATATGTAATATTTTCATGAATGAATTCAGAGGTATTAAAGATAAACTTTAGTACTGGTAATGCGATTGCATTGTGAAAGAAAAGGTGTGGAAAGGATCAGAAACAGTTGATCATGTAGAATGTAAGTATTGGTGTGCACTGCAAGGTTCTGGAGTCATCAAAATCATAATAAATTTGACCGAGTCATGGTAAAGTAACAAGCACTGTACACAGAAAGCTATATATGGGACAACACACATGGTGTCGGGGCTAGTACTACCTTGATTTCCTTGTCTTTCTATGCTCACTACTCAGCCAGTATACATTTTCTTCCAAAATTGTTTGGCACATGTCATTTATTTGTAATCTTGAACATTCAGTGTAAGTTTCGTTTGATTCTGTGAGAATTAATTTTCATTTTTTTTACCAGAACTGGAGTTTATCTTTAAGTGAGTGATGTCAAAAGTAGTTTGCTCGTGGACTTGAAAGATAATGTAATTCAATTTAAGTTTGAAGTACCAGTAGTTTAAGTACAATAATTAAGTTGAATAATTACAAATTAAACTAATGTAACAAGGGTAACGCCCTCGGGCGGTCTCAACTGCATTAGGCAATTCGATATGATGAAAAATTAAGGTTGGGACATTATTTATAGGCAGAGTGGCCTATTAGCAGGCCCCCCAAAATGAAATCCTCTAAATGTAATCAACATTTTGAAGAGAATATTGACTAAGAATCATCAGAAGAATTATTTATTATTAATTGTACCAAAATTGATAACTTTCATGAAATATGCATAACAAAAATTGATTTATTAATTCTTATATTAAGTTGTTTAAAAAAAAAATCAAAGTCTACTGACCTAAAATGGCCTTTGACCTTAACTTTGTGACCTGGAATTTGTGTCACATGATTTGTGATACTTGATAACCCTTCGGTACAAGTTTTATGTAATATGAACAAACGCTTTTTAAATTATGCTAAAATTTCACAATCTTAACCTTGGTTTTAAAAGGTTTTTGATGTTGACGCCGCTGTCACCGGAAAAGCAGCGCCTATGTTTCGCTCTTTGCTGGTTTAAGTTTCATTGAATAATAAGTAATACTTTCAAAATTATATTAAAAAATCAAAAACTTAACCCGAGGTTAAGTTTTTGATGATGCCACAATATAGTCTAAGTTTGTTGACCTGCAATAACCTTTGACCTTGTGACCTAAAATTTGTGATACTTAATAACCCTTGGGTACAAGTTTTATGTAATTTGAACTTATACTTTCCAAATTATATTAAAAATTCAAAAACGTGCGTGATCTATCCGGTCCAGATAGATAAAATAATTTACCAATTATATCAATTAGTAGGCGGTTTTCCGGCAAAATTTGTATCGTCACATATTAGTCAAAACGTATTCTTTCACATGATTGGTAATAAGAGCTTCCATTTTATTTTTTAGAGGGTGGCGTTTCCAAAACTGGGCGTTTCCAAAACTGTTCTTTACCTTTAAAAGTGAGAAAAAAACAATTTACAATGCTTTTTGAAAAAAATACTTCATTTTATTGAGCTTCTCAAAATTGTACAAAGTACTAGATTAGTGTATCATTACCTCAAGCATGACGCAGCAGACTTGGTAAATGGCTTTGGTTATTGCTTCGGGAGTTCCTGAGATTGTGACTGCTCTTTCTGTTGAGCTTGGTAGCATCTCACTTGCCACTGTGATTGATGCACTAGTCGTCTAAAATAGATACATCAAAGATGGCAAAGGAAATCAAATTATTTACCAGAAGAGAAAATGAAATCAAATCAGGATTAACATATAACTCTAGAAATAAACACTGCTTATTAAAAACTAGGATAATTGACTTCATCATATGTGCACAAACAACAAAGACAAAGTCTTGTGTGGAGATGTGTGAATGCATCTTCTAATAAGAGGAAACAAGATAAGTAATTGTATTCAATAAATCCTTCTACAGCAGGAATAAATGCAAGAAAAGCATCCCACAGGGATCAGTCGTTGCCCCTTTTGCGTTTATATTGTACACTTGCCCCCTATCAAAATTCATCAATGCTCATTGCAGTACTCGGGATACAATGTACGTACTGTAGATGACACTCAGTTGTATGCCATCATCAGACCTGGGGAACAGGATATCAGACTTCCAAGACTACAGTAGTGCATTGTGGATATTATCAAGAAATGGTCGCTCTAGAACAACTGTCGTTAAGCTGTCACAAGGGCCTATATAGGTACTGATATTCTATCTTTCAAAAATGATGTTTTATGTATCTATTCATACTTATCATGACTTTACAAACATTTTCGCCTCAGAACATACTAAAGCAAAGTTATCCTTTACCATTAATTTTGCAAATTTTCCCCTTTTTTGAATAGATTTAGCTGGTAATACGGCCAACTATCTTAAATATATTTATGAAGCAATGACGTCTTCAAAATGTACTACTTTTCCAACCATGGTCATCCTTGAATCAGCGAGAAATTTGCATGGAAATACAATCAGGTGTGCTGAAAAATGCAAGACTGGTCTCGATGTAATATATACATGTATATAATATATATGCAGGCGCGTACACGGGGGTTTGGGGGTTAAACCCCCCCCCCCCCTTTTGGTATTTTTCTGTATGTAAATCCCTTCCATAACCCCCCTAAATCCCCCCCCCCCCCAAGGATTTTTTTTTTGTTTTAATTTATAAAAAAAAATAAATAAAAAAAAATATTCCCATGGATGACCTAAAAAAGCTGACCTTACGAAATGTTTGGCCCGATTTATAAATGTTAACCCCCCCCCTTGAAAAAAATCCTGCGTACGCGCCTGTATATATGTATAAAGATTTGCATAATTAACCCCAAAAATAGCTTTGATTTAATATATTCTGTGGAGAAGATGTCAATATAATCATGACAGGTATGTAATGATAGAAAAAACAGTACTTTTGAGAGATAGAATATATATACCAATGCAGGCAACTAGGGCAGTGACAGCTAGTTTCAAAACAATTCACAGAAATTTGCCTGATCGACCATGAGGAGAATTATATGCCTTTTTACGAGTTAAAATTTTAATACTAGAATAATTATACCAAAATGAATAAAATCTGCATAAATTAGCATAATTGACCATGAATATGTGATTTAAATTCAATTCAATGCATTTCAATTCATATTTATTTATTTCCAAAAGAAAGATAAACAAAGGCATTATAGATATCATAACAGCAAGTAAGAAAAGATATTCTTTTTAAAAAATCAGTATACAAATACACTGTAAACATAAGTAAATTATTAAAATAAAATGATTACAATAAATTCTTAATTTCTTAGGAAATGGGGGGATCCACTTAAAATATCCACTAAAAATTGGTGGGTTCTGTGGAGAAAAATGAATTTCTGGGCTAAATGAGAACTTGTAGAATGTTAGTTGCCTTTGTCCACTGTGTCCCAACAATTATACAAAAAATATGGGCCTAAGGAACTTGACTATTACCTGTATAGTAATCAACATAATTACATGATCAATACATACATATACTTGTCATGGATCACTAAAAGTAACCAAATAAAATTTGATCCTACAATTACTACAATCCCTAGGTATTGAGTCTCTATGATTTATTATAAAGATGCATGGATGGCACCACCTTTTTAGGGAAGAAGCATATTTTGAAAAAATGAAGAGAATCTGTGACACTTATGAAACTGCCCTTGGCCGACACCACAATTTCAACTGAACAGTCGCCTTTATGCTCTGAAAAAATGGTTAACAAGAATATATCATGCAAAACTGTCGGTATATGTTATCTTGGTCTTACCTCTCTAATATCTTTAATTTTTGAGCCACCCTTTCCTATGAGGGAACCACACTGACTCGTAGGTACAATGAGACGTAACGAGACAGGGGGCTTAGGAGTACCGGGTGATAACACTGAATTCGAAAGGTCCTGCATCAAAAAAAGACAAGTGAAGAAAAGAAAAGAAAATCTGAATTTTTTTTCAAATTATACATGCACCATAAATATAATTATTGCAAGTACCTGTATGTTTCTACAAATTCCATCATCAATAACAAAGAATATGAAAGTTTATGAAATTTTGTGTACAGAGCAAATTGCTTTTTCCCCAAAAAGCTGGGTAAAAAAAAGCAAAGAACTTTAGAAGAAGAAGTGGGTAAAATGAAGAAGACAAATTAATTAAATGAAGAACAAAAGTTATTTGACTACGCAGTTGACAATTATGCCTCCGCTGTCCATGCAATTTTCACTTACTACCATGAGCACTGTGAAAGTCTATGACCTTTGACCTACTTAGCTCAAAATCTAATTAGATCGTCTTCCAATGTTGATACTTACTGTCACTAAGTTGAAAGTGTGTACCTCAAGCGCAGAGCTGCCAAAATTGCATGACCAAAAAAAGGAATTCATTAAAATGAAACTTACAACCACGCGCGACACACTTCCACTGCAGAAAAGTCCATTCCTCATGCAGTTTTTTTTCCATATAATAATAATAATATTATTTAATTTTTATCTAGCGCTTAATACAAATGTCTCTTAGCGCTTTACAAATATACTATTACCCCAGTCATTGGATTCAGTGCTTGCCCGCACACACTGTGTGCAAAATCTCCACCCCCTGGGGAGCATTCCAGCCGGGCGTTATTTGATGCTCACAAGCTGTTTGACCAACAATGAAGGCCGGATCCTACCGGGTACCCATTTGACACCTGGGTGGAGAGTAGCAAGTGCAGGTTAATATCTTGCCAAAGGATATTAGTGCCGTGTCGGGATTCAAACTCTCGACCTTCGCATCTCCAGTCAAGCGCCAGGGAGTGGAGAATGTGCATACCTTGTGTGCGGGTAAGCCTGAATCCGATGACCGGGGTAATAATAATATGTTGTAAAGCGCTGTGATACACATGTATGTCTGTAAGAGCGCTATATAAATGCCAATATTATTATTATTAAACCACTCGACCACGACACTCCCATTGTCAGGACCTATGGTTTATTTACAAGTAGGTATTTTGTTGTTGTTATTTTGGTATTATTGGCGTTTCATTCTCTTTGAAAATATTTTCTCTTCAGGTATGTTTTAAAGATAAAGATCAGTTCTGGTCATTCTGTTGTATTGAGAAAGAAACGTTGTGGAATCGGTCAGAAAAGGTTGATCATCTAGCATATAAGTATTGGTGTGTACTGCAATGTACAAGCACTGTACACAGAAAGATGTATATGGGACTACCCGACACGTGTGTGACACGTGCGCGATATCTATCAGGTCCAAATAGATATAATATAAAAAATTGTTAGCCTGTTCTGTACTGTATTTGCATTATTGCATTATTTAACTGCTTGCAAACCCACATTGCCTGTTTTCTTCAGTTAATCTCCTATTAGGCCCAATTAACTAATTCTAGGCCTCTTTCTTGGTTTGCTTAGATACTTATATTGTGGTCTCAAGCAAGGTTGCCAGTTGGCAAATCTTTCAAGAACAATAACTGTTTTAACAATTTTAAACACCATTTTCTGATTTATGGACTTTCTCATGATGGAGAAGATGCTCCGACCAGAGGTGAAAATTACCCCTTCTATTTTAACATATGTGGCTTATATACCATACTTCTTTCCTCTAGAGAGAAGCAATTGGAAGCATTTTATCGTATCCATTTGCCCGCTTTTAATAGAGTTCTGTGCAGGCCATGTGAAAGATTACTACTTTTTCTGTTTTTTATTCATTTTAAAGGTAATACAAAGTTTTGGTATGGGGTCATGAATTTTGTTTAAATGAACATATTAGAAGCATATGCATATGCGATCCTACAATATTCAGTGATCATTCTCGAGGTTGAAATTGAGTCTAAATTCATGAAATTGTAAATAATAAACTGTTTATGTTGTATAGCTCCCTCTCAAGGTCAAGATATTAATTAAGCTATAAAACAATGTTTCTTGACTAAAATTGACCGATTAGCTATTTACGTTTGGAAATTATATATCTTAACTACATATTCTGAGATTTTCATAGTCGCAGCTACAGGTACCTTTGTACAGCCGTAGGCGCTATTTGTAATTTATCAAAATTTACCAGGAGCACTGGTAAATTTTTATATTCAATTTTTCTCGAAAGCAGAAGTGTTTGAGGGGCTAAATTTTCTAGTACTTATAATACATCCATAGGGGCATCCAAATATAACAAAATTGTAAAGATTCACTATCCACCCAATTTTCAAAATTTCCCAAAACTTTGTATTACCTGTAAGTAAAGGCACCAAGCATCAATTCCAAAGGCTGTATTTAGCTTGTTTATAAAGTCAAACCGGTCTATAGCGACCACCCAAGGGAAACACTAAAAGTGGCCGTTGTAGACAGGTGGTCATTGTAGACAGGTGGCTGTTGGCGACCATTTTGATTTTAAATAATTGATTGACAGCACTTGCAATGCCTCTCGCAGACCCGCCAGTGCGCAAACCAAGGGGTCAGTCGGGCAAAAACAAGGCAGAGAGAGCTGATCGTTAAATCTAACAACACAAGTTTTTTTAAATCAGTGTTTCAAAATTAAAAAAGAGTGGTAAAGTTTTTAGTCAAAATAAAAATACACAATGATTGAACATAATATTTAAAATTGTCCAGCTTAAAAAAAAAAGAAGGAGATCAATGATTGTTCAAGGGATAGTTGAGTCCTGTTTTCAGATCGCTAATGCCTTCAAAGTGCATGGTTATTGCTCTTATTCTTATCTATGATATTTCAAATGCCCTTTTATGCCATCTAAAAAAATATACATGTTAAGCGTCCCTGCCCGCTTCCTTTTTGGGGGCCGTCTCCTAATTTTTTTTATTTTTTTTTAATTTAAATTTTTTTTTTTTTTTAAAGAAAAAAAACATGAAAAACACTGCTAAAATGAATCTATTTCTGATTTTAAAAAATAAAAAAAATAAAATGTCAGCGGCCATCTTGAAAAATAGCCTGACTGTCAGGGAAAATATACCGAGTGGCCATTTTAAGCAGCCATTTTGAAAGAAAAAAAAAGGGGGGGGGGCCTCCTCCTTCCTATTTTTCGAAAAAACAGGACGCTAAACATGTTTTGTTTTTTATTTGGCCTTAGAACCTAAAATTGCTATGAAGGTTATTTTGATTTGATTTGATTTGATTTGATTTGATTTACTTACCAACAGCAATCATTTCATACATTTCATACAATAATTTACATATACAGGAAGAGAAACTATTGGTTTGTAAAAGGGGCCAGGTAATAGCACATGTGCTAGTCGAACCTAACCCCTTAAACAGCTTAACAAAGTATTTTGGTACAAATCAGTTTAGAGAACGTAACAAAACAAAAAATAATGAATTTACTTTTACAATCGATACTTTAAAAAAAAAAAAAGAATGAGTACTCAACAATGTCTTACAATATACAAACTAATAATGTAAAATATGAATCATGAATTGTGTACACTTGATATTTCATTCATGACTTGTTCAACAAATGACTTGTAACAGATTTCAGAAACCTATTTCTAGACCTTGTCAATCTGACATCAACAGATAATCTATTCCAATATTCCCTGCCCACAAAAGACAATGAAAATTGACCTTGTGTCGTTCTTAATTTTGTCTTGTGGAATAGCTATGTTCTATAATGTCACAGTACTCTATCAAAATATGAGGCAAATTGCCATTGACTAGATCAAACATGAAAGTAGAAATTGATAAATCATGTAAATTATACACATTTAGGATTCGCAATCTTTTAAATAATGGATCTGAAGGAGTTCTCCATTCACTAAATGTTATGGCACGAACTGCCATTTTCTGTGAATATAGACCCCAAAATGTGTGAAATTTAGCCAATACGATCATACCAATTTAGCTCCGCATTCAAAAAAATACGGTGACCGTTAATGAATTATTTAATTACAAATAACAATACATGGGCCGACTGGTTGTGCCTAATATAACAAACACGAAAATGCCAACAAAAAAGACAACATCGGCATTGGCTGAAATACGACGTAAAATGCGCAATTTCGTTTTTTCAACGGCTTTTTCAAATTATCTAATATTTGTGGTGGTACACAAGTATTAGAAATCTTTATATTTATGGGTTCTTTCAAATTTGACAGTCAGTTTTTCAATATCACACAAAAAAATTATTTTGCGTAGTGCCCTCTGCAACAGCACTAAACTATCCCTTTAAATGAAATGAAAATGAACGAGCCTGAAAATCCATTGACAGACAGGCTCCGCCCACTCACCAGGCCTGTGCGAGACGAACAAACGAACGATTGCGAAGTTCATGACAATGACTCTGTATTGATACGTTTTCAAGCCCAGTCCATAATGAAAAGTGCAAAAAACAATATCCTGTCGGTAATTAAATGTTTTGATTGAAGTTTTAATGAAAGCTTGGGGTTGAATAGTTTTGTTGTGTGTAAAGGACTGTTAGATCTAACTTAAAGGCTACCACTGTGCTGACAATTGCCTAGCTGTGCGAGCTGGTCGCTACACGGCTGTTGTTGGTCGCTATACGGCTGGCCCTAGCGGTTGTTGTGTGGGCATTTTCAGTGGCCAGCAAAAGCAAAATGAGTGGCCCTCCTAGCCACACCAGTGTTGATAAGCTTTAAAGGAAAATGACAACATAAAACTGTATGTTTATAGTGCTTCCATACCTGATATTGATCAGTATAGGTTACTTCACGAATGTGCTGAAATTGGTGTTTTCAAACATAAGTGCACACATAATGGCAAATTTTTGGTGAGAACCAGTTAACAAAGCTGGTAAAATCAATAGAAAATTTGAGAGCCAGTAGTTTCCTTTCTCAGTTCTACAATATAAGTTGTCCATTTCATGCAAGGGGACCTTAGTACCTATGCACTTCCTTGCTTCGTCAGGATCAGTTTTCACCATCCACTTATTGCGCTGCAGCTACATATCCCTGGC